GAACCTTGGAGTGACCTTCACTAGCACTTTTAAATTCGACAAGCAGGTCAGCACCGTAGTCAAATCCTGCTTTTTTTAAATAAGACTATTGGCCAAAACCAAGTCGTATTTATCTTTTAATGACTTAGAAAGGGTTATTAACGCCTTTGTTACCTCAAGACTGGACTATTGCAACGCTCTGTATGTGGGTATGGACCAGGCCTCAATTAAACGCCTGCAGCTAGTCCAAAACGCAGCTGCACGTTTGCTGACTGGCCACAAAAAGCGTGACCACATCACCCCAATTCTGGCCTCACTACACTGGCTTCCAGTTCGGTTCAGAATTGATTTTAAAATCCTTTTATTTGTTTTTAAAGCACTAAATGGGCTGGCTCCGGCCTATATAGCTGAACTCCTCCATCGCTACACCTCAGCCAGAGCTTTAAGGTCTGCTGACCAGGCTTAAAACCCGAGGGCACCGAGCCTTCGCAGCAGCTGGCCCTAGGCTCTGGAACACCCTGCCCCTCCATGTGAGGTCGGCCCAGACCCTAGGGGTTTTTAAATCTACACTAAAAACACACTTCTTCTCTCTGGCCTTCTAGTTAGAGCGGAGCATGACTCCTGACTTTTCCCTGTGTTTTTTCTTTTATATATATCTGTTGTAATTTATTGTCTTTTATTGTGATTGTAATAATGTGTTTTTATTACATGTACACAGTGGCGTTTTTATATGTACAAAAGTGGTGGGGCACAAAAAACTTAGATGTCTATAGCTTCTGCAGTGACGTGCAGTGAGGTTCATGGCTGGTGAGGCACTGGCACTGACTCTTCAGGTTTACAAATATTATATTTTGACCTAAACCAAAATATAATATTATTTTCAAAAGCTTTTTTTGTCTGATGCTTCGATTAATTTTAAACAGACAGTTCAACAAAAGGATACCCAAAAAATGTAATTTTATCATTTAAATATTGAATTGTTCTCTCTTAGTAAGATCCCATTTTCAATAAAATTGCGGTCTTACCTTGACTTGAAGATGAAGTCCATTTGCCTATCCTTCTGGACAAACATTTCTATTACTTTTTTGTAAAAGTCCTCCTTGTAGTTTCAAAAGTCTATCATAAATCTAATCGATAGATTTATGATAAAAAAATTATAAAAGTAGGGTAGACATGTGGATATTATCCGGCTGAACAAAACGTGCATTTATCTAACAGGTACGTTTCCCACAGATCTTATTTCGAGCTATTTTCTAAAATCCTATGGAGAAACCTCATTGCTTTTTTGTGCTTACTTCCTGGTTTTAGGACGCGTCACTGCAGCTCTCTCGTCTCCTCTTCACACACACCACACTTTTCGCGGCACACGTACTTACAGCCAATCAGCTCTGAATGATGTGAGATGACGTATGGTGGGGATGGCAGCTCCGTGCCCCTCTGGTCATTATTTTTTTGCCACACACATTAACGGGGGGAAATACTCTGAGCATGCGCAGTGTAGTTTTTACAGTCATCGTTCACTTCACAGCGAGAGGAAGGGGCATGATCAGGTTTTGTCCCACATGGCTCTAAACAGCTCAATAGGCACACACTGTGACTGTAGACACACTAATTAGAAGAACACAGACTAAAACAGCAATGTACAGACGAATCAGATGATTAAACATGATCTTAAAATATATTTTATATATTTTTTTATTTTTTTTTTGCATTTTTTGTAATCATTATTTGTAATACTTTCTGCTGACACTAGGTGGGGCTGTGCCCCACCTGCCCCTAATGACCAGTCGCCACTGCATGTACAGCACTTTGGCTCGACCAAAAATCGCTTTTAAATGTGCTTTATAAATAAAACTTGATTTGATTTGAAGGCAACGGAGGGACTATTTTATTTTGAACATCATAATTTACTAATAAAAACTATTTAAATTAGAGTGTATTTTTCTTTCCTATTGCCACACTTGGTAACCGTTTTATAAAAGCAATAGCTCACTTCAGGCCGTGATATATGCTCATTATATCACAGCTAAGGGGGTTGTCGACCCTCCGCGATACCACGGCCTGTCGTGAGCTATTGCTTAAGTGTATTTCGAGCCGGTTTCTCAAACTTACCTACCCCACCTTTAAAACAACATATTCAAGGTGGTTTTCAATAACATTTCCGTATTTATTTATTTCTCCAAGTTATGTTTTTGTGTGCACGGAGGAGTCTCAAACAGGCGTTTGTTTAATCATTTTAAGATTGGCTTTAATAATTTTTTGCAAATTAATTCTTCATATATGATACATGAGAGGTAACATTATATTTATGGTTTTATTTTCACATGTTTCTCTCCATTCTTCCTTCTGCCAACTGTGTCGCAGTTTCTCATCTCTCCCATTTTTGTGCGTACGCATGGGCCAGAGTGTCCGTGGAGGACCGCACACATTTGTTTTTTATAAATCGCAAAGATTGCTTAGAAACTGGCGTACGCCATCTTTTGAGCGTACGCCACGTTTATAAATGAGGCCCCAGGTCTCTAGGGAGAGCGTCACATCTGACACATAACACAACAAATTGTGAGCCGCTGCGGTTTGCTGCAAAAATAAGTACACTTGAGCCTTGTGCTTAATGCTTATATCATTAACCCTGGTTTGTGTGTGAAGGTTATTGCCTATTTCAAGGAAAATGCTATTACAAATCCCCCTGAAGATACCATAGCATTGACTGGAATTCTTAAACTGCTGAAACATTATACATTACATGCCTTGTGTGGATAACTTGGAGTTCTGAAAAAGAGATTATCGTAAGTGCAAGGCGTAAGACAGAATCACAATTTTATTTATTCATTCTTAACCTGTTAAGCCCGAGAGACCCCAGTACCAGGGCACTGCCACAACATCTTGCAGGAAACAGTGTCTGAGGGCATGTTCATTTAATAAAACTATGAATGTTTTATATCCATGTAACGGGAAGAAACTCATCTAACTGATCTTTTTTTTTTTTTTTTCAAAAGAAAACCCACAATGCTAACACCTTACTGCACCGAAAATCACTCACAAAACCTTATTATTTATCTTTTCACCACATCCAACACATGGATTCACATCGTGAGGTGACAAAGAATCTATTGACACCGACATTACCACTGAATTATACGTATTTGCGACGTTATAAGCAAAAACGGACATCAAAACAGGTGACGCTAGGTAGCTAAAAATGCTAACATTTTTACCTTGGCTCTGTAGTCTCTCCAAAGTGGTCTTCAATGGCATTAAAACAATAAAAACACTGCTGAAGTTAATCCATAGGTTAATCTAATGTGTCTGTGTCCCTTTGAAATGATTTCTGATAATCCATAAGCATTAAAACTGCTTTTCCGTTTCCATATGTCAAGGCTAGAGATAGGTTCACTCTGATTGAAAATTACATGCGCGAAGCCCCCACCTTTTCTCTTCACAACGTGTGTGTGTGTGGGGGACTCCCCCTTCAATTATATTGGCTCTAACGGTCAGAAAGAGGTGTCAACCATCAAAATCGAGCAAGGGGGGCCAGAGATATGGAAAATCCACCCAAATGACCCCAGAAGTGGTTTCTTTTTGCTAAATCTCTCTAAAAAGGTCAAATGTCACTTGTTTTGCATCAATCTTGATACAGGGTACTTATTATATGTTGTACTTTGGATTCCTAAAGCTGTTAGTCTACTAACCCATCATCCAAGGGTAGTTTTCACTAGAAGTAAAAAATAATTTTTGGACGGACACTATAATTTACAGTTTTTTACTATGTAAAATCTGAATTTTCATTAAAATAAAAAACATCTATATTGATTGACTTTTCTACATCCAACTCACAGGTTTATCATTACTTTGAGAAAAAAGATTATTAATTTAACCCTTTTAGAAGGGAAGATATGGTCATTTGTTCTGGGAATGTCATTTTCGAGCCTGAGACCTGAAAAACAGGCTCAGGGCTTAACAGGTTAAAGGGCCCATGTCATGCTTTTCCGGTTATTACCTGTCCCCTTGTGTGTTATGAAGGTTTTTATGCATGTAAACGGTGTGCAGAGTCACAAACCCTCAAAGTACACCCTGTAGCGAGTAAAACTCTAACACAGAAAATACCTCCCCAAAACGCCTCGTTGGAGATACGTCATTGTCCATTTGATTCTTCCATTTCGTGGAGCCGTTACGTTACGTCCACGGAGCCGTTACGTTAAGCCCCCGCTGATTGGTCCAAATTGACCAATCCACGGACTTCCTCACACACACATATGTGTGCAGGGAGCAGGCAGCTCAGCTGATTTCTCCTCCCTGGCTGCAGGCTGATAACAGACAGTTGGGATCGCGGCGAAATTCTCTCTGCAGACCCATTCTCACAGGGTTTATCAACCTTTTTCTTACTCAATATCAAGCCACACTTATTGTTTTTATTTCGGCTGTGACTTTGTGTGTGCTCAGGATGAGTTTGGCTGTGTTTGGCTGTGTATCGCTAACAAGGAAACAACACCTCCACGGAGCTCAGCACGATTCACAACGTCCCGACCAATCAGAGCACACTGTGCTCACAGGGAGGGTGGGGGCTGGAGCTATTGGAGCTACAACGAGCCGTTAAAGGCAGAGAGTGAAATTCAGTGAATACACGTAGTTTACAGAGATGCTGTATGAGAAACCAATGTGAGTTTGGAAAATTGCACAGTATAAATCTATTCTAGTAGACCTCAACAATGGAATTATGATCAGTGGAAATGGCCATGACATGGGCCCTTTAAGTAACTTAGTATCTTAAGTATCTTCCTTAGATTCTGCATGTGATCTGTAATGAAGATGGTTGGATGTAGAGAATACGCATTTAATCTTATCATAGTCATGTTCCTTTTACTCTGTAATTGATCCTTTCTCTGTCAACCCCCTCCTCTCTTTCTTCAACCCCATTTCCACTCGTTCCCATCCTGTTTTTCCTTCCATTCCACGTTTCATGCATCTTATCCTTCTATCTTCCTCTCCCTCATCTCTGTCCTTCCCCTTCTTTGTCCTTGCAGTGACGGGAAAGCCCTTTTTCGTTGTATCTAGTTTCTCCCACCGCTGGTTGTTCGGCTGGGAGGGTTGTCGTTTCTATGGCTGGGCGGGCTTCTTCTTCGGCTGTGGGAGCCTCATAACAATGACTGTGGTCAGTCTGGACCGGTACTTCAAAATCTGTCATCTCAGATACGGTATGTCCGGATCTCCTTTGACGTTGTTCTCCTAAACATCATGTAGAGTGAATTACAGAAATGAATGGCAATGTGTTTGGGTGAGCTTTGATTTAAGAGGGTTAGGGCAAAAACAATTAAGTAACTGTCAACAACCTGGACCCAAACCTATGACTGGAATATACATCTTTCTGGTAATTCTAATACTCCCTTGTTAAATCTAATGCAATTACAAAAGCAGACTGAAATGTATCATAGAACTCCTTCAAGGCACATTGGGGTACTTCTGACTTAAGTATTAACGGCCCTGGACATGAATTACTATAATTTGTTCAAGTAAATCTCACAAATTTGAGTTATCCTCAACCTAGTTTCCCGCTTTGTCTACATCTGAGACCTGACATGCTGATGCAACTGCACTCAGAAAGCAGCAACTTAGATTATTCTTGTTTTCTACATTCTGTCGGATTTGAATTGTCTTAAAATGGGTTGCACATTATCAACTGAAACTAATAATTGCATGGTTGTATTGAAATTATGTCATTTCAGTTCACAAATGATCTCTCTCACCACTAGTCCACCATCATTCTTGTGTATTTTGTCACTCTTAGGCACATGGCTAAAGCGCAGCCACGCCTTCCTGTGCCTGGCCTTCGTGTGGGCGTACGCAGCCTTCTGGGCCACGATGCCCCTGGTGGGCTGGGGGAACTACGCCCCGGAACCCTTCGGGACCTCCTGCACACTGGACTGGTGGCTGGCCCAGGCCTCTGTCTCCGGACAGACCTTTGTCGTGGCCATCCTGTTTTTCTGTCTCATCTTACCAACAGTCCTCATGGTTTTCTCCTACGTCATGATTATCTTCAAGGTCAAGTCATCCGCAAAGGAAATGTCACAGCTTGATGCTCGCATCACCAACAGCCACAACCTTGAGATGAAACTCACAAAGGTGGGTGACTAAAAACAGACATAAGGGGATTCAGTATAACCTTTGAGCTATTGTTTGAATCTTCTTTGTATTCCAGGTGGCAATGCTGATCTGTACAGGTTTCTTAATAGCCTGGATTCCTTATGCAGTGGTGTCAGTGGTGTCAGCGTTTGGTGAGCCGGACTCTGTGCCCATCTCTGTGTCCGTCATTCCCACGCTGCTGGCCAAGTCCTCCGCCATGTACAACCCCATCATCTACCAGGTGGTGGACCTGAAAAACTCCTGCGTCAAATCCTCCTGTTTTAAGGCTATGAAAAAACGCAGGCATTTCAGAAAGCCAAGGTAAAACATGCGGTATCTTTCTTTGTTTTTTCATTTTTTTAGATGTGGTTACGGTTGGGTTTTTATTTCAATACCGTTTTCATATGCATGAACTCTAAACTGACAAACACAAAGAAAAACTGAAAGAAGGGTTACTATTTTGTTTGTATTATATTTAAAAAAAGAATGGTTGGAGGATATTATGTATTTATTTCAACAAGGGCCATGCATACAAATACATTAATCTCAGATTAATTAATCACAGGTTGGACTTTACACATTAATGTACTTTGAGTTAATGTATATATATACATACATATAAACATACCAAGCTAATTACAGGGAATGATCAGATACGTTCAATAATTGTCCCTGGAAAGAAGGGAGAGATTGTTTTAAAGGGGACATATTTCGCAAATGTTTTGCTTCATATTTATATTTAGTGCTTCTACCATGACATCTTTTTTTATGTTCAAATAGTGCTCTATTTTTCTCATACTGCAGCACCTCTTTTCACCCTCTGACTGAAACCAGAGCAAAGTCTGCTCTGATTGGTTAGCTGGCCGGCTCTGTTGTGATTGGTCAACCGCTTAGAGATGTGTTGTAAATTCACGTACAATGTGTATCTTTCTAGCCTTTATTTCTGTGATTAATGAAGCATGCCGTTCATGCGTGGCACAGTGCTGCCTTAGCATTAGCTCGCTTTAGTTATTTAATTCACGCTTCATATTCACTGGAACGTTGGTTTTTTGTGTGGCTACCAGCTGACTAGGAACTACAGATGTCATTGAGAATTTCCAGGGTATATTAAACCAATCATTGCATCACATTACAATACATTACATTACATGGTGTTGGGCTTTTATCCAAAGCGACCGTAGATATACCAGCAATTTACTATATTGCCCAATGACACCTTGACATGTTGATTGCAAGGAATGGGATTGAACGTGACCCCCTGATTTGCAGATCAGAGCAATACCCCCCTGAGCCCCAGATCAGATATAAAGCATTAGTTCGAAGAACTTTATTTTGGGATTATGATTTTCTGATTCATTTATTGCTGCCCTCACCTGCTAGAGAAGCAGCCCATGGACTCGGGGCTCAGTCGCAGCTGTGGCGGACCTGTGTTCAATTCCAACTTTGAGGCTATTTACATGGGTCTTCCCCTCTGTCTCTAATTTCTTTTAAGGATCTCTATTGTGCTGTTAGGGGTTTTCTATTTTTGGGTTTCTTTCCAGTTTTTGTGCATGTAAATGGTCTGCAAAGGCTAAAATCCTAAAGTTCCCTCCTGAGGGAGTTTCTCTTCCACACACTCCCTCCGACTGCCTGAAACACCTCCATTGGACCCCTTTGTTTACTTCTGTAACATAGTGACAACACTTTGTAACACTCGTGCTTCAATTGGCTAGCACTCTAACACATTGTATGTGATAGGCTAAGGGGCAGAACATTGCGCTTGGCCAATCACAACAAAGCCGGCTACCTAACCAATCAGAGCACAGGCAGTATGAGAAAAATAAAGACCTTTTGGAACATTAACCTCTTCAGTCCTAAGGCCCCCTCACAGGGGGGCCTCCCCAACGTTTTTTTTCTTTTTTTCGAGACTGTGTCTCAGGGCTTCTTAACATTTATGAAACTATTAATGTGTAGCACCAGATTAACGGGAAGAATCTCAGCTAACTGAAGATATGAACCATCTTTACCAAAACAAAACACAAGTCTCATAAGAAGCGTCTAAATGACCCCTGAGCGAAAATATTCTAACGCACTGCGGCACAGAACTCAAGATAAAGATACCCTTATTACTTATCATAACTGCACATACAATATATCCGATTAAAGCTGAGACTCCACAGATTATAAAGGGTATAGTATCATCACTGAGCGATCCGAACTCGCGACAGGGGAAGCAAACACAGACATCACAACACGTACCTTTACGGAGCTTTTACGGCAGATCGTCTCACCGTAGCTGTCAATTAGATCAAAAGACGTGTTCAATGGCATTAAAACGAGAAAAAACGCGGCTGTATAGGTTGATCCATGGGTTGATAATGTGAAAAATTATTTATAATCCATAATTTCCATTTTTATGTAAAAGTTAGCTGCTAATGGTAGCCACCAGAGTGTATGCAGCTTCCGGTTTTGGCCATGCGTCACTCTCACTCCTTATTTGTTAATGTGTTGATGTGTGTAGAACTTCCCCTCGATTTCATTGGCTCTAGCGGTTATAAAGAGATTTCATTCATAAAAATCGACCAAGGGGGGCCAGAGATATGGAAAATCCACCCAAATTACCCCAGAAGTGTTTTTTTTTGGCTAAATCTCTCTTAAAAAGGTCAAATTCCACTTGTTTTGCATCAATCTTGATACAGGGTACTTATTATATGTTGTACTTTGGATTCCTAAAGCTTTTAGTCTACTAACCCATCATCCAAGGGTAGTTTTCACTATAAGTAAAAAAATATTTTTGGACGGACACTATAATTTACAGTTTTTTACTATGTTCAATCTGAATTTTCTTGAAAATAAAAAACATCTATATTGATTCTGACACTTCTACATCCAACTCACAGATGTAACCTTGCTTTGAGAAAAAAGATTATTAATTTAACCCTTTTGGAAGGGAAGATATGGTCATTTGTTCTGGGAATGTCATTTTCGAGCCTGAGACCTGAAAAACAGGCTCAGGTCTTAAGAGGTTAAAGCATGGAAACAAAAATACGATATGGAAAATGGGCTTAATATGGTGCCTTTTAATAAAGGCACAGTTAGCAAAGAAAAAAAATATTGAAAACAAATTATTAATTGAAGTCAAACATGTTTTAAAAATGTTTTTATGTCCCTGCAGGTTTTACACCATCTCTGGCTCGATAAAGGACAGATCACCACCCAAAGAATCTCAAATGGAGATGTGAGAGACACTTTAGACTGTGTAACCCTTTTACCTATTCTACTTCGGACAGTTTGCCTTGTTCCCTGCCCTCTGTGCCCTACACTTATCCAATCACACGCTGCCTGTATCCTGCTATGACCTCATCAACAGCTCACTGTCCCTAAGTGTCGCTTCTTGTTTTTCACCCACGTATCTCCGTATTCCTACCACAGCACCTCACCGTCCCGCACACATCTTTCTGGCAAGGTTTTGATTATTCTGTGGAGTTGAGTTGTCATACAAGTGATGTGTTGTGTGAGTTTCTTGACGTTTTTCCGTAGACATACTGTCTTCTATTGCCATGAAGAAAAATACATCACAGATGTTCCTGACTGACTGACTCAAGTGTTGTTCTCACAACTCGGCTTGACTGAGGTTTGAAAACCTAAGAAGTTTCTGATCAAGGCGAGTCACATCCAAAGCTATAATTTTTTCTGAATCCAAATCTTACAAAAGTGTGAAATTGCTATAAAGATTTAAATATATTTTATATATATATTAGTTTCTAAACCTGCAAATAAAGCAGAAAAAAAACCCTGACGTGAGCCCTTTCTAAACAGGTTTTGGGTGTGACCGTCAAGCTCTAAGTCGTGTTTTTACTGTTTGTACTGGCTGTTGTGTTTTGTACTCTTACACCTGTTGCTTGTATACCCTAAATATGTCTAAAAAAAGGACTGAAATACACCATGCTTTACTTTCACCAGGTGTTACACACAATGAGATTTTTGAGTTATGTGTCTCAAACAATGAAACAAGACAAGGACAGTTACATTTTATTGCAAAACCATTCAGTTTGCATTTAAAACCGTTTATGGTGTGAGTAGGTAATGGATTGCTGCACAAACGTTTATGGAAACACAATATTCAGTCAAAGAATCAACTCCAGAAGTTGATTTGGTTTGCATAAATGGAATGGCAATCCTTAACCACCTACAGTTGGGGCAATGGGTACAGAAGCAATTGTGGTTGATTTAGGGACCATTTTTAAAAAGTGTAATTGTTGGTTTGATGTCTGTTTTTGCTATAGGCCAAAATAACTATCATTTTAAATGATAAATACAAATCATTGTTTATTTTTTGGTTAATATGCTTATAAACCTTCTTGTCTAGAGTAAGACGAGAAGATTGATGACAGTCTTTGTTGAGTATGAAGTTAAAGACGGGGCAATTTGCTTATCTCAGCATTAAGACTGGGAGCAGCTAGCCTAGCCGAGTTACAAAGTAACATATTATAATGTAATAATATAAAAAATGTTTCGTAACAAATAACACGTTTTTTGCTTTTTATATACCTACAAAAGCAAAAAAAGCACAGAAAGACAACATTTGTTTCCGAGAGAGGGTTATTAGCTGTGACAAAATGTAACCATTAGGCCTTATTGTCATTGCATGGTTGCAAGCATGCTACGCAGACACTAGAAGGTAACCAGCTAAAACACTGCATAGCTCTTTTCAGAGAAAGACAGTGAAGTCTTCAGTGAAGACATTCCTTTGTTTGACTGTCTTTGAAAGTTGTGAGTGGGTGTCACATTGACTCAGTTTCACAGAGTGCTGTATGACGATCAGCTTAGAATCGCCCCTACTCTCCGCCGTGGAAAACAAAATAGAAAAAAGACATGGTACCAAAAGAGTAGGATTTGAACCATGCAATGGAAATGAGGCAGTGGTAACAGGTGGCAAAGCGCTGTGTCTTCCTGTTTGTGAATGCATTCAAACAAACAAAATATTTAACATGTTAATTAGTTAGCATTTTCCCTGCTACCAGTTTATGCTAACCCACTTCTCCCTCCAACTTCATACTTAATAGAGATACAGTAAAGGACTCTGGAACAACTACGACCTTCAAATGCTACATTGTTAGTTAAATAGGCATAGCTAGCATGTCTACTTCAACCAGTTACCGTGCAAGCTTTTACAATACTACCTACCTTTAGTTGTTGTCCCCTTTACTCCCCACTTGCATTTGAAGAAAGTAGCTTTAAATTGTAGGGATGCTTAAACGTGGTTTTCAAAATGAGTTTGAGCAGAAGTAAACAAACCATTCAAGCTAGCTACAGAAACATAGCCTACTGATGCCTTTAGCCGTAAAAGTCTAATAAAAGACGAATGCTTTGAAGGTCGTAGTAATCATATGGAAGTCGCCCTTACCTTCGACAAGAAAGTGGTTAAGTGTTCCCTTAAAATGAACATGTACTTGGTTGAACGTTGTGCCTTTTGCACACGCCTGATGTCTCATTCTCAAAAATGTTCTATAAATGCATGTTTAATGTTAAAGTATGCACATCCATGGATTGAAGATAAGCAATACAAAAAATATATTGATTCGCTTTTGCACTTCTGTCTTGCACACCTTCATTCCATGAACCAATGTTACGACCTGCCCTCTACTCCGTGGTAGTGGCTCGTGGGGAGACCCGCAACATAAAACAAAACACGCAAAAACCAGTACTTGATAGCGATCATTTCTTTGAAGTACTCACACAAGCAAACCGGCAAACTAAAAGAGGTCTGGAGGACTGGCCAAAAGAAACAAAAAGACGGAGGGAACCCGAGCCAGCCACACCACGGGCCGTAGGAACCAGAGCTTCCCTCCCCTAACCAGAAATCAAATAAATACCCTATGGGAAACAAAATAAAACAGGCTAAACATAAAAACATCAGAAGATACACGGTCTACAGCTCAAACGTAGCAGACAGATAATCAAAAGAAGAGTGTCTCCCGGCGTAAGCCTCTTGTTTTCCTCCAGCACTCACCGCTGTGAAGGGGCTTGAGTCTTAAGTGTTTGGACATGTCCTACTGTCTGAAACACCTGACTGGCCTATGTCAAACACTTAGCTAGTGACACGTACTCAGCTGGTCTAAATGTATCCATTAGGCACATGCAGGGTCTCTTTGAAAGTTTAGGCACACAAGTCCACTAAAGACATATGATGGTCATGTTTTGGGACCTGAAGACTTTTTGGTTAATTCATATTCCATTTTCACTTTGACAGATCTATAGCAATTTTGGTACCACTTTACAATAAGACTACCCTTATAAAGGGTTTACGAATAGTTTGCAATTCATTTATTAATTAGGTTGTGAACACTTTATAAATCATTAATAAGTTTTATAAGACATGAGAAACAGGGCAACTGTGACCGGTTGCTTGCCAAATAGTGAGCCCACATTTATCTGTACTGCTAAGCCTTATATTGGCTACTTAGCTTACTTCGTCTTCTTCATCAGCCAGCATCCTTGGTATCTGTTGTTCACAGAGTTGATTCTCGCTAAGTAGCCAATATAAGGCTTAGTCATCTTGCCAAATAGTGAGCCTGTGTTGATGTATGAAAACTATGTTAGAACTGGTTTATAAATGGTTCTTAATGATTAATAAAGTGTTTACAACCTAATTATAAACCCTTTATGAATCCTTTATAACGGTAGTCTTATTGTAAAGTGGTACCGCAATTTTACTAAAGTAAGCTAGTTATGATTTGTGCCTAAGCAGGACAGAAATGGCTCAGAGGCGCATGCATACGTTTTCAGCATCAATAATTATTTAAAAGTAGTGTTGTTGTCATCGTAAGTTATGTGTGCTTCAGTCTGTGTTTTTTATTTAAAGATTCCCAAAACATATGTTGTCCAATCATGGCTTAACCTTGTACTGTCTTTGTATACCGTACGCTAAACTGTCAATCCATATTTTCATTTGGCACAGATGTGACTCTATACAGAGCTAAGGGACGGGCAATAAGGGTGTTATACTTACACAAAGCCATATTTATTGAATATTCAAGACAAAAAACAACAGTTTTATAGAAAATAAAGAACATTTGTACAATCTGATATAATCCAATCAAAAATACATGAATGTTAATTTGGCCACAGTTTGTACATTGATGGGTGAATTCAGTAAGCATGTGGCTGCTAATAGAGTGGTGCAAAAATGACGTTTTGTTGTCGTCCGACCCAGAAGTTAGCATCGTAAGAGCTCCCTCGACAAAAAGCAGTGGGATTTTTCCAATGGATTTCAGAATATTTCTGAAAATAAGCACCGTAGCAAACACATGTTTATGAAACTTACACATAATATTCAGCAGGATAATCTCCACATATTGTCAGAAGACACAGAGAGAGGGAGAGTATATAATGTCTTATACTCAAATTGCCTTTTACTCTTTAAAGTCTTATATGTGTTTAACAGAGACATATGTTTAGGTTTGACATTCCAGGAGGGTAAAAGGTGGAGTAAAAGGTGGATTTGCAAATGGTTAAGGACAGAGGGGTTTTATGGGTAGGATTTTTTTTTTTAAATATATATAGTGGGACTGTAAGCTGTGTTCGGGGTGCAGAACCTCTTTTTCCTCTGAGGATGAAGTTGCTCTGACACATTAAAGCTTCAGACATTCACCATTTACTGACGTATTTTATGAAGTAGAACAAATCACGAGAATCTCTTCAGCTTGCTTTAACCACAGATCTTATTTCAGGCATCTAACAAAAAAACGTAAAAAACAGTTGAGACAAGGGTACATATCCATGTTTTAGGAATCCTGCGCCATTCTATAGCACCATGCTATATTGCGTATTATCACTATCTGCCACGTATTAAGGTCTGATTTGCAAAATAAATTGCGCTAATTATATCACGATATATTCTCAAGATGTGGGTGCGTGAAATAATACACCTCTGCTTGGACCACTGCAGATTTAGGTTGCATTTTATCCTTTTGCATTTCTATAAATGTTCAAAATAATCTTCACAAAAGTATTCATAAAGTATTATTTATGGGGTGCTGCTGTATTGGATACCATTACATTCCTTTCTAAATGTCATCATGTTGTTTTGGCCACTGAAATGGTCTAATTAGTATGTTTTCTTGTAGATCTAGACCTCCATCCACATGTTCTTTGTATAAAATCCACTTAATGTAAAACAATGCTGCACCAAACCTTTTACACCCACCTGGCGTTGCTTCGATCATGTCTGCACTTTCTGCATTGTTCCAATATTTCTAGTCTAGTTTGACCCCATGACTTGCTGCTTGGCTTTAAATGCTTTATCAATGATGACCAATGTAGTAGTATATATTTTCAGACTATAGTGTTTTGTTTCCTATTGTTGTGGGTCATGTGTTTTGTCTGTACAAGTTTTTTGTCTTTGTACAAGTTAAAGGTAAAGTGACTTTTCATTTTCCAATAAGCACACATACTGGTTGGCTTGATCAGGACTGATACAACTAATGTTTATGCAAATAGTGTACGTTTTAACACAGGCTGGGGTGGGTGTGCTCTTGGTTCA